ATGGAGTCAGAGAAAATAGCCAGTGTAGAATAACACTAATAAAGTTCACAGGTGATCGGCAGTCAAGAACTCACCCTCACGGTATGCATGTATGTGTGGAGTATGGCCGTACGACAGCCTGTCTGCGCTTAACTCAAACCACCTGCCTTAAACAGAGCACTTCTGTGCTCCATACAAAAAAAAGACTGACTATGTGTGAGTATTTGTGTGGTGTCAGGGAGGGGGAGGGGAGAGGGGAGCATTAAAACTTTCACCAGTTTCAAAAATAGGCTTCTAGAAAAACAGAGCTCAAATAAGTGAGGCCTACATTCTCACCTGCACTCGCAGACCCCGGGGTTGAATTGTGCATATGTGCTGTTATGATCAGATGCTGGTTTTGATTGGTCACAATTCACCTGAAAAAATTGTAATTCTTGGAAAGTCATGTTAAATGGAGCTATATGTGTCCATTTGCATGGATGTGTGAGTAAGAAGTCTCTCTGCTTTGTGCACGTATTAGTGTGTGTTTCAGCGCTTAGTTTAAAACATGTGTTTGGTATTGCAGAGCGAAACTGAGATTCTGTTTACAGCAGAACAACAGACTCGGAAAATGTAAACACTTGCGCCAAAGCAGCTCAGCAATCTGTGTTTGTCTGTGTGATTTAGAGAGAGAGCAGGGAATTAGCAGAGATGTAATATCTTCCCTCAAACAGATTTTCTACTTTCCCTTTAAACAGTGACTTACCCAATTTATCATCGCACTTTGTCCCAATTAGCCGCCACTTGTACTGGATAATTGTGTGGTTATGTGATCAGTTAGCTTGTTCTCTATGAGAGCACTTGTGAATTGCTGAATTCATGCACTGCTTTGCGTATTCCATGTTTCTTCACCTTAAAGTGAATAAGAACACACACACACACACACGGCACTCAAACAATAGAGGCATAGAGGCTGCATTGGGAATGCCATCACTGTTGAGCTTTTGTTTTTCTTTTCTTTTTCTTTTCTTTTTTCTTTTCTTTTCAACTTCAGACTAATACTTGACAGTTTATATCTCGCTCTTGCTGTCTTATTCTCTCGCTCTCTTTCTCACTCTCTCTTTCTCTATTTCCTTCTTTTTCTTTCTTTCTTTCTTTCTTGCTTTCTTGCTGTCTCCTATCTATCTATTTATCTATCTATTTATCTATCTATCTATCTATCTATCTATCTATGTCTTTCTTTCTTTCTCTCTTTTAAGATACTTTACTACACAGTATCACAGTATTTTGGATAAAAATATGTATTGATACATTTTATTGGGAATCGGCTGTATTGAGCCGAATCCACTTCTGATTCTTTGCCTCTATTTTCCCGCTCTGTTAATGTCACCATTGTCCCCAACTTGTGATGGAAAGGCACATGAAAGGCTAATAAAGCCATCTAAATGTCTGCACTGTGTATTTTTTAAAGAGAAAAAAAGCTTGAAAAGTCTTAGAAAATAAAAGCTTGGAATGGCCAGATTTTCGACTGCGTGTAAGCCAGCCACCTTTCCTCAAGATATAAGCACATAAAAAAAAAGTGTGCAGCTGTGAGTGACGCTTCAATCCTTTTTCTATTTTTTTGCAGGTTAATGCAAGCGGCTTACTGCCAGAAGCATGTAAAATATGCTCCTGCCACATTTTTAACTCATGACATACAACTTGTTAAAAACAGACGTAGATGTGCTACTGCTTCATCAGAGGCTATGCTCCCTCTAGTTTAAAACTAGCGTTAACGAAAACACAATCAACACACGTTATTTCAGTAGTCCCCTTAAAGATATCCATTCAGAGAGTATAGCTGAATAGTTGAATTTAAAAGTAGCTAACAACTAAATAACAAATAACATACTAAAAGTGATTTCCCTGTTACATTAATCGGTAGCGTAGCATGTTTTACTTAAATGATAGGATATCAAAATGTTTTCTTTATCCACAAGATGGCAGTGAGAAGTCTTTGTTCCTCATTGGAGGCCTTTGTCAGTTAGTAAAGTACCATCTCCCTTCGATAACATAGCAGATAACACAGCGCACACATGAGGGCTGGGTTCGATTCCCCTTCCAGGAATACTTGGATTAGACTCTAAATGGTATTCACCTATCATTTAATTTCCACTGATAATACCAGTTCATTTCAGTGGTGTCTTATACTCAGGCACAGATGCTGTCTGCACATGATGTCTTTAGACTTTAGACCATAATTTCTTCATTACTTTCCTTATAAGATGATCAGTGACAGTATTGTCTTAACATGTAGAACCACAGCCACGAAATCAGGGTTGCCCTTTTTTGTGGACAAGGAAGCATCTTTAGGATACAAGTCATTTTTCTTCTTGAAAATAAAATAACCACAGAGCTAGGAGAAGACTGGATGTACTATTGAGTTTATTTTTTTCTTCACGATTGATCCTGGATGGCACAAACAACCAATCTAGCTCACAATCTGTTAATTCCACAGTGAAATTGCAACTAATCTATATGGCACTGCAAAATATGAGACTGAGGAATAAGGCTGCTATGATGGATGGACAGGAAGGTTAGACTGATAAAGGAGGAACTGCATAATACTTTTCCTCATGCTCTTTAGTTAATGTTTTCCCTCCCCCTTGTGTTTCGGCTAACACTGTATAGAGCTGCTATAGAGCCGCCATAAGTCACAGTTATATTTGACACCAAGAACGCCATGTGAATTTGAGAAAGAACATTCAGCACACACAGTGATGAGATTTTAACTGTAGAAAATGCTGCACTTTCTCTGGCCTTTACCACAGAGGTTTGGAGGGGGGTAGAGCTTCTCTATGGGTATTTGTGTATATATGTGTGTGTGTGCGCGTGTGTGTGTGTGTGTGTGCATGCGCGCGCACACACACGCATGTGTATGTTTGCGTGTGTGTGTGTCGTGAACAGGAAAGGGAGTTTTGGCCTGGGCCTCTCCGCTGTCCCTCACAGAGGTAATGATCCAGAGTCGGAGAGAACAGGAGAGAGTTGAGGGAGAGATATGCTATAGGAAATAGGCTAAAGGGGAATGAATATAGTAATATTCAAGTGCTCCTAATTCAGCATACTTATCCACTCCCTGTTGCATCAATAAATGTGCTGAAAACTGGAGATGTTCTGGCCCTGAAGCTCTTCAGTAAAATAAAGTTCAAGGGTAAAGTACTTAGATTTCTAGGAAGTGGCTCACAAATCCTTAAGTGTAACACCAGTATGGCTATGCTTGTTCTTTTTTATGTAGAAGAATTTCCAGACTGTTTAAAATGTAAGAACAGTGATTAAATTGTTACGGTTTATATTACAGTAAAAGATAATTCTTAAACTTATTTATTAAGCAACAGTCATTTTAAATAGTCAAGCTACCTCTCTGTCCTTCTTTCTTTCCCCTTTTCTCTTCATTTGTGGGTCTGGTATCTCATTTGGTCTTGATGGATGGAGCATGTGAGTGGAGTCTGAATAAAATATGGGGGAGTGTGAATGTGGCCAGTTCAGCTGCTCCCACTGCAGCAGATAAAACGTGCTGATGGGCTCTTTATCCCACCGTGGAGCCTAGCAGGGGACAAAAGGGCCGCTGGCCCGGGAGCCAAGGCGTTTTCTGGCCAACTGGACAGCAGCATCAGCCACAGTGAACATGAATGGATATGTTTGTATGTTTGTGTTTATGAGAGAGATTAAGTGATATTTGCTGATGTTGACCAGATCTTCTGTAACTGCAACTGTTTTTCCCCATTCATCTCTTTCTCTTTATCTCTTTTTATAATCATACGGTGTGTGTGTGTGTGTGTGTGTGTGTGTGTGTGTGTGTGTGTGTGTGTGTGTGTGTGTGTGTTTGTGTGTGTGATCATTTGGACCTGGGAACTTTTTACTTCATTCCCACAATTAATATCCCAAGAGGCATTGTGCTGACGTCAGGACAGGGATGGGTATGTGTGTGCTGGAGTGTGTGTAAGATCATAACCACATGAACGCACAGAAGATCTGTCTGCATTCATTCTCGTGTGTGTGTCTGTGTGTCTGTCAGTGTCTATGTCAGTGTCAATATTAGGAGTAGTTATTCAAAAAAGTAATCCATTGCAAATTGCTCATTAATTCTCTCGAACTCTGAGATTACTTTCAAGAAAAAATGTAATCTCACTACTCATTTCTTTACTTCTGTGTTACTTTCCAAAACCCATACAAATGTGTACCACCTGGAAAGTACAAGAGAATGCTAGTCCTTAGAATGAAGTCCTTTGCAATGCTTTATTTAGAAAGTAATAGCCAATTACAGGAAACATTACTTAAGGAGCATATCATTATTGCTGCCTTTACTCTAAACAAGACACAACCAGTTACACGTGATTCAAATTATGAATGGCTAAAGCTATTTAAAAACCTGGAAAGAAGCCCCTAGAAACAGTTAAAAAAAAACAAAAAACAAACAGCCTTCTCAAAATAAAATCTTAAAACGTAAAGCTGATGAGCTGTTTCAGAATAAAAATCAAGTCTGGCCTATGTAGGCAAGGTTGGGTCTCTTCTTCAGCAAGGAGATCTATATTCACCCGTTTTACATTAGCAGGATTAGATGCCTCAACAGATCAGTCATACAGTTTATGACTACACTGTACTGCAGTCAGATGGCACAGGTAGCACACGAGTTGAAATTATGCAAGGGCGAGTAAGGTTCATCTATATAGAAAAATTGTATGTTTTAAATGCATCACTTGTAATTAATATTAGAGACATATGAGTCGTGCAAGTAACATTTCTTATTAAGTCGTTAACTGTAATATGAAATTTCAAATATAATGCATTACACTACTATTTTACAAGAAGAAATAATCACATTAATGCGGTAAACACACATACATGTTACAGTATATCACAGTATGTGACAGTGTCTGTGTGTATGTTTATTCATAAAAGGAAATTTAATCAACAAAAACAAGTTTTCAAAATAGCTAATTCTGAATTTTCAGATTAAACATTTGCAAGGTCATTTACAGTCCCTCTCTCTCTGTGTGTCTCAGGCCATGTGGCTGATGTTGCAGCAGAAGGACCCAGAGGATTTCGTCATAGCTACCGGAGAGGTACACAGCGTGAGGGAGTTTGTGGAGAAGGCCTTTAAACACGTGGGCAAGACCATTGTGTAAGCACACATGCACAAGAAATATACACATACACAAGCGTAGATATTCTCCATGCAAAATTTTTGTCCTATGTTTCAAAAGGGATTTTGAAATGTCTGAATGGTTCTCTTGTGCAGGTGGGAGGGGAAAAATGAGAATGAGGTGGGCCGGTGTCAGGAGACAGGTGCTATCCATGTGAGAGTGGACCCAAAGTACTACCGTCCCACTGAAGTGGTAAGTACCCCTGTGCCTCCGAAGTTTAGCAATGGTGAGAACTACTGTGCACCTGATGTCCACTCATCAGATGGAGTGGCTGAGGGAGTGCTTCGTTAACAAGAGGAAGATTAAGGGTGTGGACCAAAGCAGAAGACTAGATGTTATTACTTTTTTAGTTATAGTTGGCTTAGTTCAAAGTGACGTAATTCACAAGTCAAATGGACAAAACCAGATTTAATCATGTATTTTGTAACAGTAACTTGGATAATGCGCTCATAGTTTTTATGTACTCTAGCATTCAGAAGTTTCGACTCACTGTTCAAAAGACTGGAGTCACTGTTTTTAGTAATATATAGCCAATTTTGTTAAAGATACATGTATAAAATCATTCTAGTGTGATGTTAATATTCTAAAGCTTTCAAACAATTTGCAGGAAGCTGTGAAGTTAGAAACTTTAGATAATTCTGTTAGAAAGTTTTACAGGAATGAGAGAGAACGTGCCTCAGATTGAAAAGCAGTCCAGAAGATCAGATAACTATTCATTGTTATCGTATGTCAAGAAATAACTTCAAATAGATATCTGCAGTTTATATTTGATAACATTTACTTTTTTTGAATTGTAGTATCTTACTGACAAAGTACAGTTTGATAAAATACACCTATGTTCAATAAATAATTTAGTTTATTATTAGTAATCACTGCAGTTAAAAATTCCTCCACTAAGCATTGTAGTTAATTGTCAACATGTTTTGGTGGCCAAGCAACACAATGGTCAGAGATTATTCATAGCACTATAGGACAAATCGTTATGTCATAACAAAGAACTTCCACGTGAATAACACTGTTAGCAGTGCACTGGTACAACAGGATGGATGTAGTCTCAGAGTGCTGATGTTCTACAGTCTATGATGAAAAGAGAAAGATGTTTTGGTATGTGTGTGCATAATAGAGAGCTCTCTCATCTATACAGTGTTGTCATATAGCTGTTCAGCGTATTGTAGTAGTGAAGTGTAACAAAGTGACTCAATAGTGTTACTTTTCAGAACATTTCAGCACATTTATTAAACCGACAATGATTACCAGCTATTATGAAAAGGGGGACTTTGTGTGTAGATGGATAAACAGCCACAGACTTCGCTTATATCTCTCTGTGTGAGTGAGCACAACAGAGGTCACTGAACCAGAAATTCAAAGGGGTACCAACAAAAAAAATTCTAAACGATTGTTGACAGATTAAGCCCACACTCATAAACATATAGATACATACGCATATTTACTGAGTGTTGGTCCCCACATTCTTGACACTGTAGGGCTTGTGAGGTGCTGACAGTGAAAAAAAGAAGTAAAAGAGGATTATGAGGAGGTTCTGCATTGTAAAATAATACCAGTTTTACACACACACGCACACACATACAAGCACAAAGGGAGTGTGGCTTATCCGTCACTAGAAACTCAAAGTGACAATGAGGAGCATTTGGCCTTTGACCAGTGGGATAGGAAGTGCATTGACCTTTGACTCTTGTGATAGGAAGTAGGCCGCTCTTCTTCATGGTGACTTCAGACCTGGAGGTTGTTGCTAGTGTTGAAATAGATTTAAATCCCCCTTTTAAGTCACATGCTCACATGCAGAATTCTCCCAGACATATAAACATACTAAAACAGTCCTTGGCAAAAACAAATGAAGGGTTCAACTGTTCACCAGAATATATATATTTTTTTTCTAGTTGTTACTGTTCCTCTCACTGGTCAAAGCAATTTTTATTTCCCTCTCTCAGAAATTTCAGTCCACTCCCGTGCTAATGTCAAACAATAAATTATTTTAATGAAATCATTTAATAACAGTTTTCAAATTTCAAGTTTCAATTTTATCACCTTTCTTTTTTATCAGAGAATATTTATTTCCACCCTCATACATAGACCACTTAGTGAATGCGAAACTGTAGCACTGTAGATATTTTATCAAATCAACATTTTAATGAAATAATAGTTAACAAATCTTTTACTAAAATGCTCATTTTACATGCATTTTAAATGACTTTTTGTAGTTCACAGCAATTTTTCATAATTTCATTTATAAATTTATTAAGCACTGTTCAAAAGTTGGGAAATACTAGTCAAAATAATTTTTGTTATTTTGTATGCAGTAATAACTCTATAATGCAACACTGAAATTTTGTAGATATCAAAAAACAATGTTTTTTTCAGTGTTTTTAGCAAGTAATTCATTGATAAATAATTTGGTAATTATCTATTTACGAATGTTTTTGTCAGGATATCTACCTTAATATTTGCTCACCAGTTTTGAAATCTAAGGCTTTCTAGATATTAATTTTATTAGAACTTTGTTACTAGTGCTGTACTGCTTTCTCAGTCACTTTAAAATCAGCTACTGTTTAATTTACCGTTCTGTCACATATAAAGTTTTCTTACCTACCAATTATATTAAACCTGTAAAGTTGCACACATTATAAATTTGAATACTTATTAGTTATCATTTTATATGATTAGAAACAGTGACTCTAAACATTGATCAGTAGTGTATGTTACTTTCACCCCTCATATGAGTCTGTTTCGTGAGTCAGTCAGTGGTAGTAGTACAGTGGCCTGTTTAGTCTAATCTCTGCATGATTATCCTTTTTCTTTATGCAAAGAGTACTACTGTATCAAATAAACTGTGTGTGACATCTGAAAAGCTCTGTTCTAAATATGTTAGAGGTGTTTCTCTTGTTAGCATAAACCAATTGTATCATTTGTAAATGAGATACTGAGATATGTCATCAAAGATAATGATCTGGAAACACAAAGACCACTTGATAAAGCTATAAATAACTGAAACACCCTGTGTGTAATTTTGTGTTAGAGAGAGAGAGAGACAGAGAGAGACAGAGAGAGACAGAGAGAGAGATTATGCCAGCCGTACCTTGTGGTTTTATATGCGTCAGAGTATGTGTAAGAGTCGTTTATCCTTTTGGGACATGAGGGGGTGCTGGAGCCCATCCCAGCAGCCATTGGTTTTGTTTTTTTTGAATCTCTATTCATCTCATAAGCACAACTGCAGTTTGTACCTAGATTTGCTCTATAAGGACACGATGAGAAAGAAACACTCACAAATTCCTTTGAGAACTTTTTATCCTCACGATGAGAAAAGCAGATACAACTCCTGGACTTGTCTGTATATCACAGTTGTCCGCTCAGAGTATCTGTCTGTGCGGGTTAAAGTATATGTAATTGTCCTAAAATAGCTGTTTTCAAATGATGTTTAAAATAGTACTGATTTTTAGAAATGTTTTGCTATAGGCAATGGAAAAGCATGCACATACGTATGGAACAGTGTTTACTGTTAGCACTTAAATCCTCCACACAGTATTAAGGTTTCATACCTGTTAAACACTGTGTTTTAACTGCATGTCACACTTTACAAGATGCCAGTTAAATCTTGACCATGTTCTGTGTCAAATGATTAGAGAAGAGAGCAACATTCCACTTGGGTCATCCATCTTCATTCAGTTGTAGTTACTTGTTGTCCCAAGACATTCTCCTTTCAGAGGGTTTTTGTCAGTTTTCAAAACTAGCATATATACCTGCCACCAGTGGGCCTGGTTGGGCTGGTGAGAATGGCCTACAGTGGGCCTGGTTGGGCTGTGGAACATTGGCGTTCATTTGGCCTGGTTGGGTTTGGGTATGTGGCCTGTAGTGGGCCCTGGTTGCGCTGGTGCACATGCCCTACAGTGGGCCCTTGTTGGACTGGTGAATATGGGCCAGGTTAGGCTGGTGAACATGACCCCTAGTGGGCCTAGCTGGGCTGGTGAACATGGTCTCTAACTGTCCCGGTTGGACTAGTAAATATGGCTGTAGTTGGGCTGGTGAATGTAGCCTCTTGTGGGCCTGGTTTGGCTGGTGAACATGGCCTCTAGTAGGCTTGGTTGAGCCGGTAAATATGGGCCTGGGTGAGCTGGTGAACGTGGTCTCCACCTGTCTTGGCCGGGCTCCTGAATATGGGCCTTGTTGGGCTGGTGAAAGTGGTCTCCAGTGGGCCTGGTTGGACTGGTAAACGTGGCCCCTGGGACAGAGCTGAAAGCAGCTGAAGACCTCTCGGTGAACTGCTCAGTATGCACTCAGGCAATACTGCTGTTCCATTTAGCCAGTATGAATTTATACATCCATTTTATTCATTGAGACGCTGATTTAAAAGAGTTTTATGAGGCTCTTTGGTGAAAGAGGACTGTAGGCAGCCAAAACCTTTTTTTTTCTTTTCATTTTCCAGACAGTCCCTAGGAAACCCTCATCCATTTCTTTTTTTTTCCTTTGTTGAGAGCATAGAGAGAGAAGTGCAGTGAGGGCAGTGCTTTTAGTATCACAGAAAGATTTCCCCACTCTTTAAGATACTGTTGCCCCCCATCCTCACTTTCTCTGCTTTTCTACCTGTTTCCCTTTCTAAGTGAATTGACATGAATCTTTCTTTCTTTCTTTCTTTCTTTCTCACTCTCACTCTCACTCTCTCTGGTATATTATATCTTGTATGCAAAAAGTACTTGTGCTGATATTTGTCGACTCCCTTTAATTATGGAATTATGAGGATTATCAGGGATTAGGATTATAGCAGGGTAGGATTGAAGAGGAATTACTTCAGTGACATTACGACAGTACACATGTTTTCGGCAGAACCTCAAACAGTCACAGATGGACACGATGATGTGTGCTTTATTCCCCAGAATTCTTATTGAAGTTTTACTAAAGACTTAAGGGTTTTTCATAGCTGTCTGTGACTGAGAGTCCTGCTGCTCTTTGAGTGGAAAGGATGGTTTAGTTCTTCTCTCTGTCTCACTGTCCAGCTACAGTGGTGTTTCCCATCCTGGGTGTCAGCAGGGTGTCTGAATAGGCTCTCCTCTGATCAAATTCATCTGCCCTACAAGCACATGCTTGCTTTCACACTCTTACACTTTATGCAAATAAGGAATGATTTGCGGCCAAGAAGGCTGTTGAAACATGGCGCAATACACAGTTTTCATGATACGTCA